TCAGAAGGTCTGTTTTTCTGTAGGCAATTCTCTCTGAAGACATTGGCAAAATATCTACAAATTTTCATTGGGGTCTTTAGCGTATACATTATGTGGCTGATCCACAGGATGGCTTCTTAGGAGCTCCATTGGTGACAAGCCATAAAGAAACTGAGGCATACAGCTGCAAGATAGTGACAATTTGCTTGCAGTTGTATGAGAGAGTTTAAAGAAACAAATGATTGTCAAAAAATTTCCACGTTGGAGTTCCAAAGAAATATGCAAAGCCAACAGGTGACTCATTCCACCACTGCAAAATGAAGCATATATTGCGGGTTGGGTTTGATTTTAAACTGCACTCTTGCTAATGAGCTCATGAAAACAACAGTGCCATGAGATGCTGATATCTATCCAATTTCAAAATACAAGTTTTCAATAGTTTTAGCCTTTAATTATTGAACTATTGAAAAAACATATAGCAACCCAAATTGCATTCTAGTGTTTAGCTCATACTACAAAACGTGTTAAAGCTTTCTTTTTTCATGGAATGGTCAACATACCCTTTGTCACAGATACTGGTAAAACCACCTACAGTTCATTTGTAGTCAACGGGAATTAAAAGTGTCCACATAATTAAATATGGTTCTGAAGCAATGTCTGAGACCTTTGACCAAGTGTCATGTCCTGGGTGGATTTTGTTTTTTCTTTTGGACACAAAGTGAAGTTACTCATGTACTTTCTCAGAAATCTGATTTTTCCGAGTCAACGTACTGTTTACCAGCTGCTGTTGCAACAAGCAGTTTGATCTAGAGTGATCCGTATTTCTTTTGCAACTGAAAGTGGACACAGCACATGGTGTTATGAAATGTCATCAATAAGGTTATGGTGTACTAAAGTCAAATGTTTCCTCTTTCTAACAAAATATATAATCATCACTGGATCGAGGTAGGAATCTTGAAAGCAGGTGTAATATGTTATACACAAGACAGTCTAAACACCGTATCCTGCTTGGTTGTGGAAAAGCAGAACCTCACTTGCTGAATGTTCTCAGCATCATGTGCTTAGAGAAACCCATGCTGTCAATGGCAACTTTGGACAACATTGATGCCTACCCTTGAGGGCAGTGGATAAAGGATAGGATAGGATAAAGATAGGATAAAGTCCATGCTATGCTCTTGGGGAGAGGTTTTGAAGTCCATTTAGGGTATCATGCCAGACATGCCTTGATTATTATTATTATTTTACTCTTAAGTTGGTCAATTAGTATCAATCTCATCAGTAGATTTGATGATGCCTACAGAGACTAGATAAATGACATTCAAAAGTACTTCAAAATTTCATTCTGAAATGAATGCAGTTTCCATCCTGTCTTTCAAATTTTATCACCACTAAGAATGAAAAAGGAAAAATCAATTTGACCCCTTGAATAATTTGAAATTCGTACAAACATTCTGAAACTGAAAAATGTTGAATTAAATCTATTAGTGTATGGCCAGCTTGCACCCTTCCAACTTCAGTGCTCCATTCTAATATAGATGAAAAATGGCATCCTCATGAAGACTTCCAGTGCTGAATGGGATGTGTCTAACCACCGATTTTAGATTCTAAAGAGCAGTGGTGTCTGATGGGTTGCATACTAAAGCTGGCCATACACCCATACATTTCTTTCATTTAGCCTGCAGGCTGAACAAAAGAAATCTTAACAGATTTCTTCATCCACATAATAGCGTGGAAGGACTTGTCTCTGGTTGTTGTGCCGACAGGACAACCAACTATTAAAATTAAGGCTGATTAACCTCCCTGGCGGTATGATTTCAGACCAGTACCATTTTTTTGCATGGAAATATGTATTTTTTTTTATTGTAGGCTGCTTTATTTTTAGGAAAAAACACACTGAAATCTGTCCGAACAAGAGTCTAGTAAACATCCCGGGTATGATAAAATTTGAAACACAAAATCATAAATTATAATTTAATAAATAATCATAAAAATAATATAAAAATAATAAAAAATGTAATTCAATAATGTAATCAAACCAAAAACACTGAAATGTGAAATAGAGCGCCAAGTTCGCACATTGCTGAGCTCAGTCACAAAATCGTTTTCAGTTTCTGATGACGAATTTCCCCCACGAATCATTATCACTCAATTCTGCAAGTGGTTCAGATTTACTATCGCTGTTCTCTAGCTGATCTAAACCGCTTTTGACCTAAAGGGACACTTTTTGGACGCCATGGACATTTCTCAGTTTCCAGACAGAAAGAACAGACAAAATGCAGGCAGGGCGCAGGACAAAGCACTAGGGACAATATGTATGTGAAATAGGTTGAAACAGCAATGTTTTACTGTGTAAAATGTAAAAAAAAAAAAATGACATTTTTTAAAATTTTTAAATTTCCCGCCGGCGGCGGCGGCGGCGCCCGTACGTCCCGACGTCACAGGGACAGGACACAGAAGCCGGATGCCGGCATCGGCCGGAGGAGATGGCCGGGGACGCTGCAGGGGACACATCGTGGGAGCGCAGGGTAAGGTAAGTGAAGAACACTTGCCGGAGCAGTGCCTCAGGGTAAGCCCGAGTGTAGCTCGGGGTTACCGCTTTTGGTACTGAAATGTTACCCCGAGCTACACTCGGGAATACCGTCAGGGAGGTTAAGTATGAACCAGCCAAAATTGTATGACCAGCTTTATGTGGAACTTCACTCTCTCAATCCACATTGACTATTTTTAATCCTTAGCTGATAGTAATAAATAGGTAAAAGTATACATAGTAATCATATTTACTTTTTTTTTTACATTTCTTCAGTTACTTCCTGGTTTCCATCCCTAGGCAAATTATGTCATACATTCCTGGAGTCTTCAGGAAGGGAGAGCTCTCCCAATGCCTGAGCTTAGAGCAGATGGATTCCTGGAAGTAAATGATACATGAATCATATGCCCTTACTCAAGATGGCCATGGTTAGAAATACCAGGGGGTGTTTTCCAAAATTAATTCTCAGCAAAATAATACATGATACATGAATCATATGCCCTTACTCAAGATGGCCACGGCTAGAAATACCAGGGGGTGTTTTCCAAAATTAATTTTCAGCAAAATAATACATGATACATGAATCATATGCCCTTACTCAAGATGGCCACGGCTAGAAATACCAGGGGGTGTTTTCCAAAATCAATTCTCAGCAAAATAATAGATGATACATGAATCATATGCCCTTACTCAAGATGGCCACGGCTAGAAATACCAGGGGGGGTGTTTTCCAAAATTAATTCTCAGCAAAATAATACATGATACATGAATCATATGCCCTTACTCAAGATGGCCACGGCTAGAAATACCAGGGTGTATTTTCCAAAATTAATTCTCAGCAAAATAATACATGATACATGAATCATATGCCATTACTCAAGATGGCCACGGCTAGAAATACCAGGGTGTATTTTCCAAAATTAATTCTCAGCAAAATAATACATGATACATGAATCATATGCCCTTACTCAAGATGGCCATGGCTAGAAATACCAGGGGGTGTTTTCCAAAATCAATTCTCAGCAAAATAATACATGATACATGAATCATATGCCCTTACTCAAGATGGCCACGGCTAGAAATACCAGGGGTGTTTTCCAAAATTAATTCTCAGCAAAATAATACATGATACATGAATCATATGCCCTTACTCAAGATGGCCACGGCTAGAAATACCAGGGTGTATTTTCCAAAATTAATTCTCAGCAAAATAATACATGATACATGAATCATATGCCCTTACTCAAGATGGCCATGGCTAGAAATACCAGGGTGTATTTTCCAAAATTAATTCTCAGCAAAATAATACATGATACATGAATCATATGCCCTTACTCAAGATGGCCATGGCTAGAAATACCAGGTTGTATTTTCCAAAATTAATTCTCAGCAAAATAATACATGATACATGAATCATATGCCCTTACTCAAGATGGCCATGGCTAGAAATACCAGGGTGTATTTTCCAAAATTAATTCTCAGCAAAATAAAGCATGAAGACATGGATGGGTGGGTGAGTTTGCGTTGAATATTAACAATGAATTAAATATATTTTTTAGTTTGCGGTGCTCAGATGCAGTGCAGTTCCACTTTAAGACACTCTTAACTTGAGGTAAGAGTGTGATAATGTAGGTTATTACTACAATGTCTATTAACATATTAAATGATCATACTGAGGGTATCAGACATCATTTTTGTTCTTGATCAGGGGTCTCCAAACTGCAGCACACTGCAAGCTTTTATGTGGCCCTCTAATGTAAGAGTGGAACTCTGATGAGGACCCAGATGTTAATGAAAATATGATGTAAGAGGAACTTTGATATAAGAGGGGCTTTGATTGGGACTTTGATGTAAGGCAGGACTTTGATGGGCTCAAGTTTATGTGGAATTTCTTTGCTTTGTTTACTGAAATTTTTTTTCTGTTGTTCTAAATAATATGCTTATTAAAAAAAAAAATTCCAGATAAAATGTATTCATTAATTTAAATATGATTTGTTCATTTATAAAACTGATTTTTTTTTTTAAGCCTGCAAATATTTGTAAAATATACGATGTGGCCTTTGTACTGAAAAGTTTAGAGACGTCAGGTCTATATTATAGTTATTTTATCCTACAGAATAAAGTTTATACATAGAACAAGTTATCTATGTTAGTTAGCTATATTCAAAATTTTCAGAGTATAAAGCAGATCAGACCTCTTAGGAAGCTTGAATTTATGGCTGTTAATGTTTGCTAATGTGCATAACATTTTTGTCAGGGTCATATTTAATATGCAAACATTTTCCAGCTGCAAAGGCCTGCAGCAGACTCCATAGTAATGAAGCACTATCCCTTCCAACTGTGTTACCATTAAGCAAGCATACATGTTGATTTACTTTACAGCTGCTCTCCAGAGAGGTTATTTTTTTTTCTTTAAAGCTGAACATTTTCTAAGCATTTATATTGTTATTATGCAATATTTATTATTTGTGCTTATTCTGTGTTCTGCCAACAGGTCATTTTCCAAACAAGGCAATGCCCTCTGCCGGCACATTGCCGTGGGTGCAAGGGATTATCTGCAATGCCAATAACCCATGTTTCCGGTACCCGACACCAGGGGAATCACCAGGAGTGGTTGGAAACTTCAATAGGTCAATGTAAGTTAATTTGATGTGCTTTTGGAATTAGTCAGCTTCTACTGTTGTGAAAAAGAGTTATTAAAAATATGAGTGGGATTGGCTACTACTGAACAAGGTCTTCTACAGTCATGGCCGAAATTGTTGGCACCCTTGATATTTTTCCTGAAAATCAAGTATTTTCACACAAAAAAGGTATTGCATTAACACATGTTTTGCTATACACATGTTTATTCCCTTTGTATGTATTGGAACAAATATAAAACAGAGGCAGAAAAGCAAATATGACATAATGTCACACAAAACCCCAAAAATGGGCTGGACAAAAGTATTGGCACCCTTAACTTAATATTTGGTTGCACACCCTTTGGAAAACATAACTGAAATCAGTCGCTTCCTATAACCATCAATAAGCTTCTGACACCTCTCACCCGGAATTTTGGACCACTCTTCCTTTGCAAACAGCTCCCAGGTCTCTCTTATTGGAAGGACACCTTTTTCCCAACAGCAATTTTAAGATCTCTCCACAGGTGTTCAATGGGATTTAGATCTGGGCTCATTGCTGGCCACTTCAGAACTCTCCAGCGCTTCTTTGCCATCCATTTCTGAGTGCTTTTTGACGTATGTTTGGGGTCATTGTCCTGCTGGAAGACCCAGGATCTTGGACGCAAACCCAGCTTTCTGACACTGGGCCCTACAGTGCGACCCAAAATCCTTTGGTAATCCTCAGATTTCATGATGCCTTGCACACAGTCAAGGCACCCAGTGCCAGAGGCAGCAAAACAACCCCAAAACATCATTGAACCTCCACCATATTTTACCGTAGGTACTGTGTTTTGTTCTTTGTAGGCCTCATTCCGTTTTCGGTAAACAGTAGAATGATGTGCTTTACCGAAAAGCTCTATCTTGGTCTCATCTGTCCACAAGACGTTTTCCCAGAAGGCTTTTGGCTTACTCAAGTACATTTTGGCAAACTGTAGTCTTGCTTTTTTATGTCTCTGTGTCAGCAGTGGGGTCCTCCTGGGTCTCCTGCCATAGCGTTTCATTTCATTTAAATGTCGACGGATAGTTCGCGCTGACACTGATGCTCCCTGAGCCTGCAGGACAGCTTGAATGTCTTTGGAACATGTTTGGGGCTGCTTATCCACCATCCGGACTATTCTGCGTTGCAATCTTTCATCAATTTTCCTCATCCGTCCACGACCAGGGAGATTAGCTACAGTGCCATGGGTTGCAAACTTCTTGATAATGTTGCGCACTGTGGACAAAGGCAAATCTAGTTCTCTGGAGATGGACTTGTAACCTTGAGATTGTTGATATTTTGCCACAATTTTGGTTCTCAGGTCCTCAGACAGTTCTCGTCTCCTCTTTCTGTTGTCCATGCTTAGTGTGGCACAGACAGACACACAATGCAAAGGTTAAGTGAACGTCTCTCCTTTTTATCTGCTTTCAGGTGTGATTTCTATATTGCCCACACCTGTTACTTGCCCCAGGTGAGTTTACAGGAGCATCACATGCTTGTAAACATTCTTATTTATCCGCAGTTGTGAAAGGGTGCCAATACTTTTGTCCAGCCCATTTTTGGAGGTTTGTGTGACATTATGTCGAATTTGCTTTCTTTCCTCCCTTTTTTTGTTTTGTCCCAATACACACAAAGGGAATAAACATGTGTATAGCAAAACATGTGTTAATGCAATACGTTTCGTGAGAAATACATGATTTCCTGGAGAAATATCAAGGGTGCCAACAATTTCGGCCATGACTGTATGTCCAGTGTTAATCTGCTGCAGTTATTCCTAGTGTGTGATGTGTATAGATGTGAAGGCATTAAAGTTGCTCTTGCCTGTCAAAAACGTCTCACTGGTGTGGCTATATCTGTTCTAGCAATCTGCTGTTCAATATTCTCTAATTAATAAGGTGATTGTCAAGCCAGTCAGCCCTTAGATATAATAAGATTAATTTGGTCTTCTGTTGATGTAACTGCCCCTAAACATCTGAAGTATTCCTACGATGTCAGATCTGAAAATCATTAAGTTGTTCTTTCAACTCATACAGAACACTTTCTATAGCTAGCTATATTTGGAAGAAATTATTGTTTGTGTGGTTTGCAGTCGGGACTGTTATGCCAAATGTTGGAGGAGAGCTTTGTGTTCAGTTCAGATAAATTAATTCAGTTATCATATACTTAATCATCAATTTGTTTAAAATTTTCTTTATATTCACCAATTTGGGAGTGCTTTAAAGTGCGACTATGGCCAAGCTGTAGACATATTTCTAAAAAGCAGTAACTGAGCTTTAGGACGAGCCCTTACTAGCTTTTGTAGCTGCAGGCACTCTGGAGAAATTCATCCTTAGTTTATTTTATAGCAAAAGCACTATATTCTTCCATGTCAGCTTAGTATGTAATTATTTTACCTTTCACTTTTCATGGCCTAATTCAAACATTGTGACCATTAATTCTTTCCAGAGTTTCTCGTTTGTTCTCTGATGCACGGAAATTGCTGCTATACAGTCACAAAGACACCAGTGGGAAGGACTTGCACAAATTCTTGACAAGTTTACATAGGTTTCGGGGCACAGGTAAAGCATTTCTAATGAATAACTGTTTTATACTTGCGATTTCACTGGAATAGTACATGCTTGCAAATAACCCTTTTTAACAGGAGAAAGCACTCCGGGGTGAATGTCATTTTTAATTGCAAGCATGTAAGTGAATGTCCACTGTTAGGCTTTTGGATGAACTAAAGTACCAGCTTATGGACAATACTGGCCACAATACTGGCCATATGGACATAAGGCTTAGAGCCTTATGAACGCAAGGATGATGCTTAGCATGCGAAGCATGAGTGACTTTACTGCAATAAAAGGCAGGTAATAGGTAGGGAGACTTCTGTATACGCAGTCAATTATATTTGTTTTTCTTTAATTTGTGTTTTTCAGGAATTATTTGTAACCCCTCCAGTATTTTTAGTATAGTATTGTATCTACTGTGCTTAAAAATGTCCTCAGAAGAGACAGTAGACCTCTACTGATAAAGCAAGTGCAAATTCTACTTGTAAACAAAAGGAAAAATGGGGGTATAAGATATTAAATAACTACAAATACAAAATATTGTAAGCGAGAGTTAGTTCTCTGTCATGTGAGGTGAGCGTTGTGGAAAGTCTTCCTTTATCAACATCAATCAATGCAGCAATACATATATTGGGCATCACACAATCAGTACAGAGCAAAGGGCTATTTCTGTGATGACACAGGTCACAGTCGCAATTTGTATTTACTCCACCTCTACACTTTTGATGATTTTTACAGTACAGAGGTTGTACTTGATTTCTAGCTAGGTGCAACAAATAATGACCTCTGCATACCAATCAATGCAGTGTGTGAAAACAAGTGAAAATAAAAGCGCTGAGCAAACTGTTGGCACTATATAAATCCTGAATAATAACAATAATAATAATAATAAGAGGGTTGTCCTGAGGGGCCAGTGAATTCTAAAGAGCAATGAAGAGTGTAATGTAATGACTCATGAAAGCATTGTACCCAAGATTTGTCACTCCTAAATACAATCAGAGTAGTCTTGTTGTTTATATTAGGGGGCTATTTATATTATTATTGGTGCATTCTATGTTACAGTCTGATACTGTGTTTTGCAGTTTGCTACCTATTGTTAGATAAAAGTCCAACTCTGGGAGATCCAAAAATTCCTTCTTGCAGTGGGTTTGCGCCTGTACTGCCAGAGTTAATTGCACGTTTAGGTCTAGAGCAGGGGTGTCAAACTGGCAGCCCTTCGGCTGTTGCGAAACTACAAGTCCCATCATACCTCTACTGTTGGGAGACATGCTTGTAACTGTCAATCCTGCAATGCCTCATGGGACTTGTAGTTTGGCAACAGCTGGAGGGCCGCCAGTTTGACACCTGTGGTCTGGAGGTAAGCAAAAGCATTTTACTTACCTGATCCTTCGCTCCCTTGGCAGATAGTGCACTGTCTCTCTGTGTCATCATGTCCAGTATAGGGCTATGGACCCTGCATTGGTCTTGATGACATCAGGACCTTAGGTTGGTGGAGCATGGGGGAGAAGACATTGTGGGGACTGGTCAAGCAGTGCGGCGGAGTAAGTAAATCTTCATTTCCATGCCCCCTAGACCTAAACAAGCTGGTAACCCTTGCATTGTGGAAGCAGCCCCACAGTAAGGAGGAATTTTCAAATTTGCCAGAGTTTGGTTTTAAGGTAATTATCATATTATCTAAAGCAAAATATACAGGAGAGCTGATGTTACTTATGACAGGGTTGGTAATGAGCAGCATACTGAAGACATATCATGGTAGGTCAGTTATATACTAATAGTTGTGGACAATCAGTGATTCATTGATTTCAAGTGTCAACCATTTGGCAGATAGAAACTGAAGACTTTTCTTAGAATGTACTTTAGGATGCAGCTATTCTGTGACCCATGGGCTGTTATGGGACAGTAAAGCTAAGCAGTGAAGCCATGAGAGGCTGAGTCTGATAGTACATATTGATAAAGGTTCTCTTTAAGGAAAGCTTTTAGATTATTATTATTATTATTATATTATTATACAGGATTTATATAGCGCCAACAGTCTGCTCAGCGCTTTACAATATGAAGGGAGACAATACAGCAGCGATACAGTCCCAATACCAGAGGGTTAGGAGGGCCCTGCTCCTTGGAGCTTACAATCTAGGAGATCATTGCAACTTTTATTTATAAATGTTTCATGTGGCTGTCTGTACTTTGTTAGGGTTCATGTACACTGCATCTGCTAAACTGACGTTCAGGAGCTGTTCAGCGTTTTTTTCAGCAGCCCCTGAACTCTCCCTAATGTATTGTGTCCATGTACACATAGTCGTTTACAGTCATTTACAGGCAGTTGAGTTTTGAACGTACCAAACTTGTGTTCAGGAGTAGATTTTACCGGTGTTTCAAAAGCCAAATGTTTGTAAACGCAGTTAACCGCAATTATAAGCATTTGCGTATAGAAGCTTTTTTTAACTGTTCCAAGTCCAGATGCTGTCCAGAGCCTTTTTTCATCATCAAAAATGCATGCAGAGCATTTCCATGTATTCAAATGGACCCAGTACACTAGTGCAGTTAGTTCCAGGTTTTGCGTGAAGGAAAAAATGGCAGAACATGCTGCATTATGCTCATGATGGGATCCATAGTGAATACAACCAGAAAAGACAGGTCATCTCAACACATACTGCTCTCTCTGTTTCTGCTCTCTCTATTTCTCTCAAAATGTCTGAAATAGTTCATTATTTACTATTTTTCAGTGCATTCTGGGCATTTGGGAAGGTCTCCTGAGGTTATCTTTTTAAAAAGCGCATAAACACGCGGCTAAACTGACGTTTTTTAATCTACGTTTTCCAGCAGTCAGTTTCCATCATTCAGAAGAGTTTTCCAAACGCCCCGTGTACATGAGCCCTTAAGGTGTATGGCTTGGTATTTCAAAGGTTTCCTAACCTGCCATATTCCAGATGTCATTTTTTACATGGAAAATTAAAGCAAGAACGTTATCTCATGTTGTGGGCAAAATAAACACTTTTTTCTTTCGGTTGCATTTTGATAAAAGTTGTCCATACTGTTTGTTTTTTGCTACACAGTACGAGGCTTCTGAACAGACTTCATACTTTATAATTCCTAGTTTTGCAATCAGCTATTTCACATTGCTTATGTATACTTAAAATGTATTCATGGAAAAGATGACATAATTCACATGACATTTATCAGTCATTGAGACAGGTTTCTGTTCTGCTTTAAGGGAAGTCTTATGAAATCACTGATCTTTGTAAAGAGTACAAATCACTGCTGCACGCAATTATGCTTGTTTTTTTTTTTTTTTTGCTGTGTTATCAGGGTCACCAGAGGGTATAAAGCTGAGCAGATATTTTAACTTTGGTTACCAATAGTTGAGAATCATCGTATATTTCTTGCTGACTCTAATGGCAAGATTTTACTGCAGTGGCTTATGGCTCTGCCCGTTCACACAAGCCCATAAAAAAATTTTTTTCCGTTTCCCAGAGCTAAACTCCAGTTATTTGTTCTACATTCTGGAGGCTGTATTGGAGGAATGTGAAACCGTCGTTAAGGCTTTATGGGTTACAGTAGTTGGACAGAATGAAGCCTTTTTAAGCAAGTTGCATATAAATGAAATCCAGGAGGGATACAGGCACATTTATTTGTGCTGTTGGCTTTTTGGTACTGAGACCTGTAGAAGTAGTTTTGGACATAGGACTTTCAGTGCCAAAACAAACATAGATGAAAAAGTGTGCAGTCCTGTCCCGATATTAAAACCTAGCACTGACAGAGTGTTTAGGTGTTAGGACAAGGTGACAGTGGCTTGCGAAGTTTCCTTTGACCCAGTAAAATTCAGCTGGCCAGTACTCGTCCTCCCCTCCTTACTACTACCCAGCTGGCAACTCTACCCATTGCTTCTGGAATTAGGGGAGCTGGATATGTGGTTTCCTTCCATGTGACAGTGTTCAGGTTTAGAAGATAAGTCACTATACCTTTACAGGGATGTGCAAGTCCTATCGTCCGATGCCCAGGATATGCAGTTCAGGGCACCGGGCAGAGCAAGAGGTTTTTCCTTATATTTAGCCCTGCTGCAGGCATGCAGCAGGAATTTGAACCGATGGTCGCCTCTCTTGTAAAAGGAATCCATGTGGCTAACTAGCCACTGGATTTCTTTTACAAGCAGCGGGAGGGGACATCCCCCCTTCCACGGTCTGTCCTGTCGCACCAGGACACCCGATCGACCATCTGTTGCTTCCACTCTGATATAGGAAACCGGAAGCGATGAGCATACATCACTTCCGATTTCACAGATGTAAATGGCGCCATTTCTAAAAATGGAAAGCATTTGATCACACCGATCTTGTGCGATCAAATGCTTTTAAAGGGCAGAGGAGGTATCTGCGGTCTTATCGATAAAGAGCACCTGTCACTGCCTATTGCTATCACAAGGGATGTTTACATTTTTTGTGACAGCAATAAAATTGATCAAAAATAAAAGCAATTAAAGCGACAGTGTTAAAATAATTAAAAAATTTTTTAAAGCACTCATCCGCGTGTGCAAAGGTGAACGCATACATTGGTCCTGCACACATGCAAACACATTCAGTCCACACATGTGATGGATCACCAAGAATGTCAGCTCATGGGCAGTAAATCCAGTACCAGACCTCCTCTGTAAATCTAAGGTGGTAACCTATAAAGACTTTCAAAGCTTCACCTATGGATAGTAAAATGTATATTGTTTGTTGCCGCTGCATGGACGTGCGCAATTTTAATTTTATGTTTGGTATCTATTTACTCAGAGTAACATCATATTTTATATTTTACCAAAAAATTGGGTTTAGTATTTGCATTAAAATTCAAAAAAGAGTATTTTTCCTAAAAAAAAAATGTGTTTGAAAAACTGCTGCGCACATATCGTGTTACATAAAAAATGCAAAATCCACCAATTTATTCTCTAAAAAAAATAATATAAAATGTTTGGGGGTTCTAAGAAATGTTAAAGCAGTTTAAGTTGCCATAAAGTCCCTTTTCTTTTTAAA